GGCTTGCTCGGCAACCATCACAACTGATTTCTGAGTGAACAAGGCCTCAGCTGACTGAAATTCTGACAACAGTTCTGGAAGAGCCATATGCATCTTGTGCATGTTATAGTTCAACCGGAACTGATCAAAACTCTTCGGCAGAGATTGGAGCATGATATCAACCTGGGTTTCCCCATCAATAAAACCTCCAAGAACCTCTAGCTCACTCAGCTGCGCCATGACCTTGAGAGCATGATCCCTTACGGGTGTACCCTCTGCCATGCGCGTGTTCATCAGAGAACTTAAAGCCTCTTGTCTTACAGCCCTTGACTGATGCCCAAACAGTTCCTTGAGGTTCAGAAGCATATCTGCAGCAGTGGCCATTGACTGATGCTGATGTTGAAGGACATTTGACATAGAAGCCAGAATGTAACACTTCGCCATTTCATCAGCCTTCTTCCACCGAGCATACTCCTGTTTCTCCTCATCTGGGGCATTATCAGCCGGCACATCAGGACAAGCCTCAGTCAGCACATACTTATAGCTTTCAGCAGTCAACACTATGTCTAAGTTCCTTTTCCAATCAATGTAATTAGGACCGGTGAGTTGATTTTCTTTTAGGATAACAGACAACGGATTGAACGACATGATGAATAAACTTGAGAATTACGAAAATATTTTACTGGATTAAACATTTTGAATTTAACTGTTAATATTGACATCCTCAAAATAATACTAACTTAAATTCACCGACATCCTTAAACCTTGAGAATTTTTTATGATGCTCGGGCAACTCTACTAATTCTTCGTTTCTTTAAAGAAGGGTTTTTTCATAACCCATTAATCTCCATTAGTCAAAACCAAATTCATGACGAACGAAATTAATAGTCAGTCACCTTTTGGCCATGCAATAAAAATCAGGGACCCCTCGGGGGGTTACGAAATGAATCGCATTCTAAGTGAATCCCATTTCTCGGTCCTAAGGTCGTCTAAATCAATTATACGTTCACCTCGGGGTGACCCATACGCTCTCATTCGATTTCCTCTAACCGTCTAAATTTAGAAATTCGTTTTGATAATTATCCTTCAATTAATTTCAAGTAATGTCATCCTCGGAGAAGCCCACACTATCAATTAATTGATTTACCAACGAATTAGAAATGGAGGCCTTAGGAATTTAAAATTATCTTAACTTTAAATATCCTTCTCATCTTAGTATTTAAATGAGGATTTTTAATATATTCATGCAATTCTAAATAATCCTATGTACACAAGGCAACAAGTATTTCCATGCATAAATAAACAAATAAATAATTAATGCCATAAATAAATATCCACT